ACAAAACGTGTGAGTGGTGTGCCGACATGGGCGGGCGGACGCCATTCTGACTTTGGCAATGGGGCCTTCAGTGGATCTTGCGATGGGGCCAAGAAGCGAAATTATGAGCGAGGAGACGACATGGGCAAGGGGGGCGCCATACGGACTCTCCCGCTGGGGCCTTTGGTGGAGCTCCCCATGCAGGTTGGGAGCAAGGCGCTGCAAATTTAAAACGAAAGCCCAACACCACACGGTGGCGGAGAACAATGTCACGCAATACTTTTGTGCACAACGCAACGAGCACCAAAGCCCCGGGCGTCGTGGTGAATACTAGAAGGCCCAGTCAGCCAAGTGAGAAAAATTGGGCGCCACGCGTGGGAAGCAGCAGCAGGAGCAGACAATGCCACAGAATGGAGCGCGGGAGCGCTGTCGCTGGCTGTCCTGGTCGCTTGGATGATCTACTAATAAAGCGCTGAAGTAGGGAGCAGTGCGGGTTCGGAAGGGTCTCGCTGTTCCCTAGGGGATTACATGGTTGTTCTTCTAAGGAGTCCCGACATAAAGAAGTCCGTGGGCACGTTTGTCGACGACCTCCGAGCTTCCTGAGGTGCCCCAAGGCTTCTCTGCGGGCCCCCAGGGACATCGGGGGATCAGAATTATCCGTAGAGCACCTGCTGGCAGGCTGGTTTCTTATCTGATGCAGCCACTATGTGCACCACGTCGTCGGGCCAGCTACGGCCCTCGGTGAACACAGGCCCCAACCTTCCAGGTCGTGAGGTGCTTCGGCGCCTGTGCACCAAGCTCCTTCGCCGAGTTGGGGGCCGTCGAGATGGCGTCCGAGAAGATGGGGTCAGAGGAGCGCGCTGGAGCACTAGTGCATCGGCGACACCGCGATGGAGAAAAATGGGCTCCGAATCGAGCTGCATCGCAGATGCATCAGCGATGCGGGGTGATCCTCCGACCCCATCTACTCGGGCCCCATTCGTATAAGATAACGTCACCTTTAAAAGCATACACTTTCGGAGGTATGCGCGGATATCTTAGATCGGCGCTGGATCCACTTCACGAATTCTGGGCGGACTTATGCAGGTTGCTTATTCGTCTTACTATTCTTATCACTAATATTATAATTATTATTCGTATTATTAGTAATATTATTATTATTCGAAGTTCGGCTGCCTGGACGAGGTGCCCAGGTGGACGGACAAAACGACGCAGGGCATAGATCGAGCTTCAGTGACAATTCATGGGAGCCGCCCATGCGATATCGTCGGCTCTTGCGAATCGACGCTAATCGATGCTAATCGACGTAGGCCGATGCTACATCGAAGCTAATCGACGCTAGTCAACGCTAATCGAGGTTACATCGGCGCTACCTCACAGATGACCAGGCGCTATTCGACGCTAAAGCACTCAAAAGACGAAGCTGCGAGGGTACACATGGCTTCCATGACTTGCTGCCGAACACCGAGCCCTTCCGATCGCCTCCGCGGCCTCGCGCACGAGCCCAGCCCGAAAGAGCGCGACCGTCGTCGGGCGCCCGCCGCAGTCCTCGCCAGCGCTCGTCGCCAGGAGCCTCCCCCTGGTCGGGGGCAGCCAAGAGGGGGGCGTCCAAGAGGTGGGGGCGCAAATCATGATCGGCGGCACGTGCGCGGCCCAGGGGGAGGGCCTGGGGCGTACTGAAGTAAGAAGAGGCGCCACGAAATCTTGGGAGATAACCCTCTGCCCGTGATAATCACACCATGGGGATAACAAAATTCGGGGCCCCGGGGGGGTGATGACAGGTTTTCCCGGCAAGTCGCACGTAGGCATGTACGGTGTACGGATGTAGGAGCACGACGCTTCAGAATTCCTCCTCGCTCTTGGTTCTGGCGGGGCCTTCCCTGGATGGGAGGACTTCTACTCGATTTCGATGGTGGTGTTCTACTCGTGGTGTAGGAGTACTCATGGCGCGGAGGGAGGAAGGAAGGGAGGGGGAGTAGAAGGAGGAGGAAACAGAGAAGAGAAATAATACAAGTAGAACAAATAAAGAAGACAAGACATATAAGGAAGAAAGGATAAGGAAAATAAGGAAGATAAGGACAACGAGGAGAGAGGGGAGGAGGACGAGGAGATATCAAGCGAAATTGAAGTTTCGGACCTATCATATTCTCTGTGTAAGCCAAAAAGCTATTAGTGGTTGTCCACCCGACGTGTAGGAATACTCATGGTTGCTCTTTGGGAGTGATAATCAATGATGGCGATAAACAAGTTCAGCTGGGGCGCGGAGGGAGGAAGAAGGGGAGGGAGAGGAGTCCTCTCCTCACCGCGATATAGCAGGCATAGCACTAGGGCGCCACATGGGGCCACGAACCGTCAGAGGGATGTGCCAAAATAGGGGTGCACGAGAGGGTGAGGATGATGACAACAGATGCGGATGAAGATGACAACAGATAAGCATGATAACATGATTCAATGTACGATTCGTACTTTCTCTGGTGGTGATACAATTCGGCCTCGTCGCTCCGCCCGCATATCAAATATAGTTAAGCATCCCTGGATAATCACGACTCAGGGTTTTAAAGGGGGGGATGCTTTAATATCGCGGGCATGCGGTTCACATGGCCCTCGCCATGAGATCCACCCCCCCTGGTCATCACCCCCCTCTTTGCCGCCCCCGACCTGGACTCCGGGGGCCTCCTCAGCGCGTCCGCCAGCAGCCGGCTGCTGGGCGGCGTCCAGTGCGGGCAGAGGTTGCCCAGGACGGAGGCGGTGCTGCGCCGCGGCTCCTCGTCCTCCTCCACACGGGCGGATGGGGGGCGGGGACGGCAGCGGTACGCCGACGCTGGCCGGGCCCATCCTTGGCCCGCGGGGTCGGCGCATGCGCCCTCCCGGGCTCGGCCAGGAGGGCACGGGCGGCGCGCGACGTGTGGCCCAGAAAACGGCAGCTCCCCACCTGCGGCCCCACGGGCCCTAGCAGATCCCATGACATTCTGGCTTTTGGGCTTCCGCGTGGTATACGCTACGGCGCCCGATGTACCGTAGCGCAACATGGAAAGTCGTAGGTGGGGTGGTGTCGTTCGTTTTGTTGGTCGAACGTGTGCAGTCGGCCAACGTCGGCGCGAGGTGTTCAGTCGGCGCCCTCCCCAGACGTCCGGCTCCGTGCTTTTGTTCGCGGCGCGGACCCCCAGAGGTCAGGGCCTCTTCTTCCTCGGGGCTGGCTTCTCATCCTGAGTCATGCTCTTGACGGTCCCGCAGGGAATTGCCCAATGCATTGCGTTGCGACTTTCTCGCGACAAGCGGACCCCGACATCCCTCCCCTCATATAGTGTTTTCTCAATATCTGGCCCCTTTTTCATGGCCTAGGAGCACGAGAGCGGCCCCCAGATGTCGAAATGAAGGAACACCACCGCGATTGAAAAATCCAGAGTGCCCCAACAAACCAAGCTAATAGCCGCCAAAGATGCAGCCCAGACAAGAGTGAGAGCACGGCCATGTGCACCTTAGTGTAATTGTTTGAAAGGGGTCGTGGCCGTCCCGACGAAAAATGTAGCCAGCATTGAGATGAGAGCACGAATGCTGAATATAATTCTTCGGAAATCTGAAGAGAAACCGCCGCCAGACCGTGCCGGACCAGGCGGTCTGGGGATCCCCGTCCCCCCTGTAGGACTCTTCTCTGGCCCCCGTTTGCCAGCGCTCGAGCCCTGTGGCGAAACGCTGTGAGGAATTCCAGAAGCCTGAGGACGTCAGGGCCCGAGCTCCTCTCCGAGCACGGACCCCTCGTCGGCGGCGATGCTCAGGCTCACAGCGGGTCTCCCCCCCGCGCCCGACGGCGAAGTCGGCGAGATCGGCGAAGCCAAGCTCCTTTGCAACGCCGGCTGCGGCTCGCCCGCCTCGTCCCACGGGGCCTCTTTACGCGGAGGGCATCTCTGCAAACCGCCACCACACCTGGCCTGGGCCATCCGTGGCTCGGGTCGACGAAAAGGGAGGCTCAGCACGAAAGGGGGTTAGCGAATCAGCTCCCGCGACTGGTCCTCCTGGCGCTTCCCGGCGTCGGGCATCGAGCGAGGAAGGCGTCTGCGCTACAACATCTGTTTGCAGCTGATTTTGTGTACCCCACTTTCCACATCCCTGCTTTCGTCCGACCCGATTAGCCTCACGCCCTCCTGGCTGAGGCCAGGAGGGTCCATTCGAGGGCTCCCGAGATCCTTCAGATCCAAGCAACGCAAAAAAATCATGACGGCCGTTTGTTCCCTGCTGTTGTTTTCGACCTGTGGTGGCCATGTCTCAGCTCAGGCAACGTCGTAAAAACTACTCGGGATGAAACTCCGGCCCACGGGGAACTCCCCCAAATCTGCAGTCAAAATTGCAACATCGCGAACAATCATGACCTGAACCCTGGACCTCATCCCTCTGCTGCATCTTACGGGCCAGATCGATCCGTGAGTGTCCCGGGGCCCGATATAAAAGGCAGCATCGCCCGTTGCGAAAAATTTGCAGCACCAGTATCTCAAGGGTGGTCGAAGACCCGAGGCGCCGACGTCACGAGCAAACTGCAGCGCCCGAGGCGCCTACCTTATGCTCCTCCTCCTCTTCCTCCTCCTCCTCCTCCTCCTCCTCGATCTCCTCCCCCATCTCCTCAATATCCTCTTCCTCCTCCTTCTACTCCTCCTCTTCCTCCTCCATTTCCTCAATATCCTCAATATCCTCCTCTTCTTCCTCCTTCTCATCCTCCTCTTTCTCTTCCTCCTCCTCCTCCGCCTCTTCTTTCTCCTCCGCCTCCTCCTCTTCTTCTTCCTCCTCATCATTATCCTCCTCATCATCCTCCTCCTCGTCTTCCTTCTCCTCCTCTTCCTCCTCTTTCTCCTCCTCCTCCTCCTCCTCCTCCTCCTCGTCTCCTCCTCCTCCTTCTCCTCCTCCTCCTCCTCCTCCTTCTCCTCCTCCCCCTCCCCCTCCCTCAGGTGCAAGCCTGGTTGACGAATAGGGGCGCAGCCATGGAAGGTCTGTGAAGTCGTTGCAAGTCCTGCGGCCGGAGCGAGTGAAACATGAAGCTCGCGGCCCGGAATTGCAAATGTTATGGGTGCGGCAAGCAGGTGAAGTTGTATAAGGGCAAACCTGCGCCCAAGAACAAGGATACCGAGAATAAGACTTCGGCCGCAGGTCAAAACGCTTTTCTTTTTCCTCCCGGCGCCGGCACTTCAAAGCAGCTGGAGGTGTTGCTGACCGCTGTGAAGGACAATCCGGAGCTCAAGGATGTGCATGACCTCCTCGCAGCCAAGACGAGTACGGCACCCGACCAAGCAGCGCCTGCTGGGGACTCCACGAAGCTGTTCACCAAGGCCGACGGGGCCTTGCGGGACGCGATGCACAAGCACAAAGCTGCGGGTGCTGCGCTCCTGAAGGCAAGGGAGAACGTGACGAAGGCCGAGGAGAAGTACCGCGAGACGGGGGTCGCGGTGGCCGAAGCGGAAATGGCGCGCAACGTGGCGCTACGCGCAGTGGGGCGGCCATCGCCGGCGACCATCGTGGAGGACTCCAGCGATGACGAGGGTGGGGCGGTGCCGACGATCGCCATCAGCTGGAAGGAGAAGTCTTTCGATCCGACTCGCTTGGCCGAGCGCGGGTATACGGAGGAGGACGTGAGGGTGATGCAACAGGTGAAGGCGCAGCTGGCCACGTGGAAGCAGCAGGCTGAGGCTACCACGGCTGAGATCCGGGCCAAGCTCGCTCAGAACATCGAAGAGATCGAGAAGGTCAGAGCAGCGATTCGAGACCGTGGCAAACGGGCCAAGACCACGGCAAATGGGCCACCTGTCGATGGGGGCGCTGCTCCACCAGCCGGCGAGACGGCAGCAGGCTCATCACCTACAGCATCTCCCGGATCTGAGTCGGCGGCAGCTGCAGCCGAAGTCAGGAAGGACCGGAAGCTGCAGGAGCGCGCGACCAAGCTCTGCGAGGAGACGCTCGAGACGCTGCGAGCGGAGAATGCCAAAGGGGCCACCGGGGCCAACCAGAAGCCTCCGGGTGCCGCGGGGCAGTGACAGGCGGCGGCCGCAATGACTACATCCAGTATGAGCGGCACTCTAGGTCGCAACTCCTCTTGCAGGGGTCCTGGGAGCAGCGATCTGGCTCGTGCTCGGTACGATGCCATTTCTTCTGGGGCATGGGGTGGATCTTCAACGCGGTCTGCAACTCTTAGTTCTCGGGGCGGATCTTCGACGCGATCCGCAGCAACTAGTTCGCATAGGCCTGGCGGGGTATGTCAGGAGGGTGCCCATTTGCAGCAAGTCTCTGTGCATGCTGACACAGGCGTTAGGCCTGGAGGGGAGTACCAGGACAGCAAGCAGCTTGAATTCGAGGGTGGCGACTCCACCCAGATGTTTTCTCTAAGGTCACTTGCATGGGCAAGAAGGCCTGGAAGTTTGTCGAACAGCACTGCGACGAATTCGACTTCCTCGGGATCGTCGAGACCCACATCGGTGAGACGGGCCTGGACGAATGGCGTACGAAAACACGCAAGCAGGGATGGCGCTTGATTGCCTATCCGGCCCGCCCTTCGGGCAACGAGACAACAGTTGCTGGCGCAACGCACGCCAATGAAGGTGGCGAGTGGCTCGAGGTCATCGTGAGGTTCACTCGCTCATGGCGGGCGGGTCCACCGACGCAGCCCTGCACGTCAACGGGTTCTCCGCCTTGGACGGCTTCGTGGCTATGCTGGTGCACATGCAGGGCTTCTCGATTGTTGTCGTTACCTTCTACGGCGTGCCCTCTTGTGGACCTGCTGGTGGCAATCTACACAGGTAAAACCGTTTAGGTGCTTTGTGGTCAGCTGTACAATTGCCATGGCTGGTAGTGGGGGACTACAATATCCTAGCCGACGTCTTGCGGCGATCTGGATTTGTCGAGTGTCTTGGAGGGAAGCTGTGCGTCGCCCCAGGTGTAGATTACACATGTGATTCTGGACAGCCACGAGCCCCTCGACCCCGTCAAACTTCTACTCCCGGGTCCAAGTCTAGCCGGAAACGTGCTGAGCATGCTTTGGCAATGGCAACGGCGAAGGAGAAGCGGCAGGCTGTCCTCGAGGAGTTTTCCGGCGACCACATGAAGGAGGACGGATTGATCGACGAGGTGCACCCAGACGAGAACCTAGTCGAAGAAGACATGGCCGACGCCGAGATCATCTTCGGACAAGAGCTTTTTACTGGAATCGGGTTCGCCATCGATTTTGATGAAGAGGGTCCCTGGGCTGACGAACCAAACTTTCTCGAGCCCGAGCCTACCCCACAGAACCCTGCATGCGTGCTTCCTGATGGGCAGCGAGAACCAGATGAGGTGGCAGGTCGGGCACCGGCGTCCGACGATGCACAAAACCTACGCGCAGATGGATCAGATGACCCTGGACGAGCGGCCGCCGTACCGCCAGCAGCAGTCGCATCCTTCTCGGTGCCGGACGCTATTTGGGAGGAGCGGCGTCGCGCAGTGGGTTTCATGAGAGCTGATGGACACGATGTTTGGTCAGCAGCACGGGCCTCTCTGGCTTGCTCCGTTGGTTCAGACTATGTGGGAGCAGCTAGTGGAATGTACGGCGCCTGGGTCACGACGGTTGAGGGCACCATTCGACAGCACCACGGCGAAGATGAACGCAGCGAGCAGCATTCTCGTGCGCATGGGCCTCGATTGCGCGTTGTGGAGGTTCGTATGCCAGCGAAGTGCCGTGCCAGCCCCATGGCTGATATTGTATGCGCCTGGTGGGACCAGTGCGCAGCAACTTTATCACGATTATCCTCTCACCGACGTCGGCGCAATGGCCCGGCGCAGAGACGCTTGCTGGTACAGGTGTGTCTCCGCCTAGCGCAAAGTGTGCCCGATGGAGTTGCCAAGTGTTTGCGCTCGGGGAGGCGCGATCGATATTGGGATGACTGGGAAGCTCTTTTGACGCGGGCCGAGGATGCGAGCGACCAGTGCATTGAAGATTTTACAGTGCAAGCGCAGCGCATTGCAGCACGGGCGCGTTCCCGTGCCTTGCAAGCATCTTGGAGGAGTTCCGTGGGTGGATCGTTACCCAGCCCGCCCTGGGTGTCCTTCATAAGAGCATCAAGGGGGACCCTGCACCTCAGGACGAGCTTGTTGTAGAGGGCCGCGCGATCGTTCACCCGAAAGACATCGTCGACCACAAAGTCCGCAAGTGGCATGACCTGTGGGGAGTAGGGCGCGACATCAACGTCGACGAAACCTTAGACTTTTTCGCAGAGCTACGGGAGGAAGCCGAGGTAGCGAGCCTGCCTTCGATGACCTTGCAGGATGCGGACGGCGCCGTCAGGCAGATGAAGGCGAATACTGCGAGCGCTTGCCGGAAGCAGGGCGTCAGGAGCTCGTCGACCTGAACAACTCTAGCGAGGCCGCGCTGACATGGCCATGGCAGCTCATGTTCGTCTTAGGGCGCATGCTGGCCAAGAAGAGCGGCGGGGACAGAATCATCGGGTTGCTTCCGATGTTTACGCGTGTATGGTCCCTGGCACGGGACCCGTACGTGAAGTCTTGGGCCCAAGAGTCCGAGCCCTGCTGGGTCGCCGCAGTGGCTGGCAACTCTGCCTTGCGAGAGGCGTTCTTACGAGCGTTGGGGGAGGAAGTGCACCAACGCCTCGGCGCTTCTACCGGACACGGCCTTCTCGACATCCAAAGTTTCTACGACAGCATGGAGTGGTTGCGCCTGGCTCGCACTGCCTTGCGCTTGGGGTTCCCTCCAGTGATACTGTTCTTGGAGCTTCAGATGTGCATGTGTCCACGCGTGGTTGCTCAGCTTGGCGCGTGTTCTCGTGCCTTCCAACCTACGCGGAGCGTGGTGCAGGGCTTGCGCAATGGCACGCGTTCGCACGTTGCCTGACTTGCTTTATCATCCACTCGTTGGTTTTGCAGCACCCCCTCATGGACAATCGCTTGTGGATCGACGACTTGAGCCAGCGAGTGCGAGGGTCGCGGAGTATGGTTCGGAAGAACCTGCTCGCAGGACTCACTGATACATGTCTCGGTTTGGAGGCTGCCGGTTTACGAGTGGCTTCAAAAAGTGTTGTCCTGTGCACGCACCACCAGGTTGCCAAGTACACCGCTCGCGTGCTTCGTCTTCGTGGGTTCAGTATCTCTCCTGTGCTTCAAGCTCCTTATCTGGGCGTCGATCTTTGCAAGGGGCGGCGCCACGGGCGGGAAACACGTTGTAAGCGGGTCGTCAGATCCCGCGCAATGAACGGGAAGATCAAGAGATTTGCTCAGGCTTCGAGACGATTTGAGGATACTGGGAAACTCGAGCGAGCGGGCGCTCAACCAACAACAGTATATTGACATCAAGTGTACGGCACTTTCGGCTCCGCCATGGCGATGCTCCGACGGAGGTTGGGCGCAGTGCTCGGGTCCACGACGATGGGCCGATGCTTGACCACCTTGCTGGACATCACAATGCCCCGCGGGGACCCGGCCTGCAAGCTGCCGGGAGAATATCTCAGACCATGGTTTGCTATTTGGACGTGCAAGCCCTCCATTCGACCTGGCGTGCACCGCATTTGGGACAAGCTGGTTGCCGATTTGGCCGCGCTTGATCCTCCGCGACGGGCTCGTCACGTTCGGGGGCCCGTCTCCGCGCTGATTGTGCACCTCTTGGAAAATGACTGGGTACCACATTCTGCTTCGCGGTGGGGGGCGCCACCTGCATCCAGTGACGCGGAGTCCATCGAGTGGCACTTCCCAGATGCAGATTTGTACCCGCATTGCCAAACTGATGACTTTTTCATCGATTTCGAGGCCAGCATTCGAGCTCGACTCTGGCGGTGCGCAGCGTCACATTACCTTGGCGACGGCATGGAGGACGGCATTGACAACCGCTCTATGAGAGATTTCATTACGAATCTGCGCAAGGCGCCCAACAAAGGGCATCGCCTCAGTGAACTAATGTTGGCTATAGCAGTCGGGGGCACCTGGACCAGAGAACGCAAAGCATCGATATCGAAGTTCGCCGTGGACGTGTTATGCCCGCGGTGCCGCGCAGCTCCGGAGACTCCTTTTCATCGTCTTTGGGCCTGTCCCTGCAACACTGGGAACAAGGCGTACGATACGTCTGACGCGTTATCGTACGACGCTCAGGTCCATCATGAACGTCATGCGTGTTTCTGGCGCCGTGGCTTGCTGCCTGCGTCTTGGACTTCAGTTACTCCGCCCACGCACGAGGAGCAGTGGTCGCACTTTGGACTTGCCGACGGAGCCCTGGGTCCAGGATACCTTGGTGCAGTCACCCCGTTGCACCCGCTCGTCATCTTCGGGGACGCGAGTGGCGGTCTGGATAGCAAGGACCCTCACTTGAGAGGGGTCGGTCTGGCAATCGGCACTCTTCGACGCGATGGGCGAGAGCTGAGGGCAGAAGTGTCGGGGCCTCTACCCGGATCTGTCCAGACGGTGCCCAGAGGCGAGTTGGCCAGTTTGGAGTTGGCTACTCGCTTTTTTTCTGGCCCCACAGTTTACGTCACTGACGCCGAGCCAGTACTTCACGGCTGGCACGCTGGTCGGTTTTGATTGCCCTCTGGTCCCGACCCGTTTTTGTGGGGACGGATCGGCCAAAATGTTCGTGATAAGCCTTTCTCTGATTTTACTGTTGTGCACATCAACTCCCACCTCACCGTCAGCAAAGCAGCTGACCGTGGCATTCCAGAGTGGGTGCGTATTGGTAATGAGTTGGTCGAAAGTTTGGCCGGAGAGGCTGCGACAGCATATCGCGTGCCCAGTGCCGAACGGGCCAGGGTGGCAAAAGCTGAATGGCGCGCCTTGCTAGTTCGTCGGAGTCTCTTGCGCGCCACTTTAGACGCAATGCGGGCCGAGGAAACTTTGAAGCGAGCCCAGCGGCAAGAGACCGTAGAAACGGGTCCTTCCTTACCTCCTCCGCCTCTTCATACAGCCGCTGGACGGGCCTCCCGTGCCCCGTCCAAGTATGCCGTTGCCGCCATAACGACACAGCGCACGTTACTTGAGTGCGTGCGTAATGCGCACGGTGCTGGTGTTC